CTTATACATTTATGTAATATATATAATATATATATAAATATATATGGATATATATAAATGTATATGTATATATATATATATATATATATATATATATGTATATATAAATAAAAACATGTTGATGTATATATTATGTACATGATATATATATATATACATATATAAATATATATATATATATATATATATATATATATATTATATATATATATATATATATATATATATATATGTATATATATATATATACAGGTACATTTATATATAAGTATAGAATATACTATATATATATATGTGTGTCTGTGTCTGTGTCTGTGTATATATATATACATATACATATATGTACACACACACATATATATATATATATATCTCGATGGTCATTTGCGTATACATAGAATTTATCGCCCATGTATATTAAAACACGAATACTGGAGACAGTGAATGTCTATTATCGCATTTTGATATCTCATGTATTGATATTGTGGTACGAGACGTGTTGAACACTATGAAAGTAAACGGTGTTAAATTCAGCGCGCTAGGCAAAGCAATGCACAACACTTATCGTAGAAATCTAGAATGGTCAGATAGCGTACAGTATTGATGGGAGTGAATAGATTGAATCAGTAGAGCATTATATTATATAGACAAGACGCATTTGTATGTACAATGAACTATCCAGTACGATTGGTCTAGTGAGAGTCCGAACAATGGAGAGAAGATTATTCACTGGGGCTTAAAGTGTATTTATTTATATTCGATTGGTATTGCAGATTAGGCTCAATCATACTCTCTCTTCTCGAACCCATATCCCCTGAACATGAGGCGAAGGGCAGATTTCTGGAAGTCTTCCTCATTGTAGCCAACTACTTGCATTAAATCTTCCACATATGTATCTGTGGGTGTTGAAGGAGCATACTCTTTTCCTACGAGGACAATTTCTTCGTAGCCGAAGATTGAGCCCGAGTCTAGTTTGAGCCAATCAGTTTCCGAGTCTGGGAATGGGTATTCCCTCTTCTCCATAGCATATTCATGCATCACTGCCATACCATCAAGCAGATTGACATGTGGGCCCTCATTCTTGTAGGTGAAAATGTAGTTTCCAAAGAACTCGGGATTGGTGTATTTGTTATCATATCTGTTGTAATACTGTTTGAGAACACTTGCAGCGCGGACCAACGCAGCATTCCATACGAGTAGTAGTGACGACTACGCGGTCGGAACACTTCGAATGATAGCAGCGCGTCAAAACTGAATTGAGTGTCCATGACTTTGTCCGTAATATCTGCAAAGGCTCGCA